TTTGTGATGAATGGATTTGGTAAAATGTTTTCTTACTTTTTCCTAGACATCGCCTGGTGGTATTACCAGTATCAGAGAGGTAAAAAAAAAAGTTTAAACTAACTTGACTCCTTGGTCACGTTACTTTCAAAGGAAGAGCCGTGTAACCGAGTATTCAGATTTTGTCCTGAGTCTTCTCGCTCAACAACTCTCTATGCCCCGTATTCACAATCCCCACCTGCACGGACACCGTTGGAAACGTCCTTTTAGAGACAAGTTACAAGGGAGGCTCTGCTCCCGAAGCATCGGATATGTTTTCCTCTCCTGGGCAATAAAGCATATACAAGAGCTCAGCGCCAATTTGTGGCGCCAGAGTAGTAACTGCGGAGAACAAATGACCTGGATTTCCGTGTTCTCTCTGTCCCTGTGGTCTTGACCTCCTAATCGAATCCACATTTTCTGAGGCTGTTTCCCTTATTACTTTACCTCTTCTTATTGTGTTATATGTATTTCATATAATTGCTTCAATCCCTTTGTGAAACAAAGCGGAACGTGTTGGAAGCAAACAGTGAGGGAGAGAGCAGGTTCGGTAGATGGAGTGGGGAGAGGTAGGGGAAAGTTTAGGAAGCTTTCTGAACTGCCTCCGGGCCCAGGAAGGCGGCATAGCGGGGCGTAAGTAAACCAGAAGGGACAGAGGGAGCCTTGGAGGGGACAGCCACTGCTCAGCTCCAGTAAAGGATGGCCTTGTGACAACTTGAGACCGAATCTTCAGATAATTCCATTTCTCAAGGAAAACCAGAAGCCCCTCATCTTTAAATCTTGGCAATTCGTTCCCCCAAAAATTAAAGCACATGATATAGATGATAGATAGATAGATAGATAGATAGATAGATAGATAGATAGATAGATGATAGATAGATAGATAGATGCCAAACAAGACCCATCTTCGGGCTGTGTTCATGCCAAGAGACACCATTTTCTAACCTCAACACTGCATGGGTGGGTACGAAGTCAGGCCCGGAGGTTGCAGGATGGAGAAACTATTTTTCAGTCCAGGCAGAAGGAGATGGTCATGGCCATGGCTGTGGTCATGGGCCTGACAGAGAAGGTGTCTCACCAGGGAAAAGACCTCCTGTTCCTCATGGTCTAAGGGTCTGACATGTACACGGGCCGGAGCTTGCTGGGGCAGACCCACGGTAAGGCTGGCCACAAGCCCATTTGCCTTTTGTGCTACGGGCAGCAGAAGCAGCTGCAGGGGCGCGTGGAAGCGAGATCTGTACCAGAGGCCTGGCCGGCGGGACGCTGGGCCCAGGTCTGCCACCAGCTGTCTGTGACAGGGGACCTGGGGTTCAGGAGAAGCCATTTCATGGCAGAGCAGGAAAGAGGTCTCCTGTGTCAGCCCTTCACCTGGGCTCCGTGTGGACAGTAGATGTGGGAACTCACTGAGGCACGGCATTCTCTCTTCTGAGGGTCCGAAGCTTTCCTCCCGCACTCAGAAGAGCTGTGACCCCCAAAATGGAAGGCCCACTTCTTCTGCATCATCTCCTCCAGCCTCTGCTCCTGCATCCTCTGCAGTTGGTTGTTCGATCCTGTTTCCACCACCCCCAGTGAGAGATGGCGCATCGCCTTGAAGATGCTCCTCCTTAGCGAACTCCTCATATGTTAGGACAGCCGGCTCCCTGATATTCCCACGGAGAGGGTGATAGTCCCCACTCCCCACCTCACAGGGCTCAGTGACTCACGGGCATGAAAACATTTTACAAATGAACAGCACGTGACAAACAGAAGGCTTTTCTAACTCATTGTTGTTGTGTAGCCATCATAGTAGGAAGTCTCTATGTTAATTTTCTACCATCCAAGCTCAGTCTGACTTGGGAACTTGCTCATCGTTGTTTTTAATGACAAAAATAATAACAACAAGCAAGTTTGTCCTCAGAGACTCTGAACGAACCTCCAAAGAAACCGTCATGCATGCTCCCCGCCTAGCAATGCTGTTTCCCCTTCCTCCACCCAGGGCCTCCCCAGAAGCCTGCAGGAGGGGCGCACACACCTCTGAGGCCCCTTCCCAAGCTTCTGCAGCGGACCCATCAGGAGGCACCCGAGGAAAGGGAGGAGAGAGCTGGCGTGAGACACGGGAATGCCTCCCCCTCCCAGGGGGCCGCAAGTGCAGGCACATTAGTCGTTCCCATTCGCATGTCACGCACAGACTTCTGTGCAGGTGTATGCGGGCTGGACTGCTGTGTAGACTCGAGTTCTTGCTAATTAACAGTAAGAAAACCGAGAGCCTCGCATGCCCATGTGCAGGTTGCGCCCCAGCATCTCGAGTCCAGAGACATGGATTTCCTTCCATGACAGCTGTCACTCAGCCTGACCAGGAGAGGGTGGCAGGGAAGGAAAACAAAGTAAAAGTTGGGCAGACAGCTGCTACCCGAATATTCAGATGTTACACAACCCGTTTCCTATGGGAATGGGTCCCGCTGCCCAGACAGCCAACTAACCGTTTGTTAATAAAGGCCAGTTCTACCTTAATGGGCTTCATAGTTGATATTTCAATAATTACTTAGTGCATTTTTAATAAAAGGGATGGCAAGCAAGTGCAGTTTCTGAATCAGACTCTCTCAGGACTCCTGCAAAGAGAGTTCTCTGACTCGGGAGGAATTCCGTCAGGAGCTCAATACAAAGAAGACAATCTTGTGAGAATATCTTTTAAGCTTTTAGGTAAGATAAACGGGGAAAGGTGTACTAGACACCTTCAAAAACACACCATTTCTCCCAAACATACATTTGTATCCTCCTTACATTTTAACATAACTTTTACCTCTTTTCGATGCTAACTATCTGTGCATTTTATAATTGATTTTTAGAGACAGGGGAATGGAGAGAGAAAGAGAGAGAGTAGAAATCCATCCATCGATCGGCTGCCTCCTGCATCCCCTGCTGGGGAACAAGCCTGCAACCCAGGCATGAGCCCTGACCAGGAATCAAACCTTATAGGAGGACGCTCCAAACCACTGAGCAACACCGGCCAGGGCTCTCTGTACATTTTTAGATAACATTGCAATTGACTCTAATGCCAGGCAATTTAATGCAACAATTTGATTTGTATTTTAAAATGAGGTAAAGAAAATATGAGCATTTTGAATTAGATTCATGGGGGGGGGGGGGGTGTTGTTTGTTTGTAATTGCTACTTGTTAGCTACAGACATAATGACAATTAAAGGCTCTGTAAGAGTTACCAGGAAATTGGCCACAGGGGCTATGTTGTCTGAACAGAGGATCTTATTTCTGTTGATTAACCTGTCCTGCTCCCAAGCAGGATAAGCTGATATGTATTGCCCAGCCCATAAGGAAGATGAGGACAAGGAATTGTCACCCAATTCCTCGGCCTCTCCCTTGAAGGCCCAGCCAAACGCCCATTCCTTTGGGGGAAGGTGCAAGATTCAAACTCCTCTTGAAATCAAAGCACCAAAAGGAAAAGTGGTGCAAAGAGACAGACGCTGACAAGAGCGATGCCTCAGACCCAGAGTAACGCACCGCTCACTGGTTCTCTGGGGTGGAAACCCCGCCCTCCCCACCCCCCTAGGCCACGGGGTGTGACAGGGCCAGTGTCCGTTCCCTGCAGCCTGCCCACCTCGCCACCATTCTCGCCAGCCCAGATGTGCAGCCATTGCAGTTCGATATATGGATTTGGTAACGTCTGCTGACAACAGTGGGCAGGAAAGGTTAGATGGTAATTGATTCCTGATTGGAGTCAATTCACAGAAAGCGTTGTGGCAGGGCCCGGAGGAGAACACTCACTCACCCGCCGGGATGGTAAGACGGTGAAAGTTCTGCCTGTTTGGGTTTTGTGATCCTTCAGGAGGAGGCGGGCAGAGTTCTCGCTATAATTGACGGACACCATTTCCATCACTCGTGCAAAATGAGATGGCATTGTGGTTAAGCTGCCACTTAAAACAGCGGTTTTGAGAGCCCTCCGATGCGTTAGAAGCTTTCATTTATGTAAAGTAGCTCCCTTTTCAGTCCTGTTCCCATATGTCAGGCTAGCTAGGAAATGTTACAAAATGATACTGTGAAACACATTCCTATTTTTAAATTTATATTCATGCTATCATTTGAACTTTTTGCTAGATCGTGCTAGCCTTTCTCTAGTTGTCCCAAATGGTGAGAGTTTACTCCATGCTTTTATATATTATTTTTAATTGATTTCATAGAGGAAGGGGGAAGGAGAGAGATAGACACATCAATGATGAGAGAGAACCATCAATCGGCTGCCTCCTGCGTGTCCCACACTGGGAATCCAGCCATTAACCTGGCCCTGATCAGGAATGAAGCGTGACCTCCTGGTTCATAGGTCAGCACTCAACCACTGAGCCACGCCAGGCTAATATATGCTTTTTTATATTTATATTTTATTGATTTTTTTTACATAGAGGAAGGGAAAGGGATAGAGAGTTAAAAATATCGATGAGAGAGAAACATCTGTCAGCTGCCTCCTACACACCCCCTACTGGGAATGTGCCTGCAACCAAGGTCCATGCCCTTGACCAAAATCGAACCTGGGACCCTTCAGTCCGTAGGCTGATGCTCTATCTACTGAACCAAACCAGTTAGGGCTGATCTATACCTTTTTGATAGCCTTCTTTCCCCTTGCTGTTTGGAGGGTGCGGATCAATCTGCCCCCTTTTCTGTGTCTAGAATATTCAGATGTTCAGTGAGCAGCACATTGGATATGCAAAGAAGTTATTTCAGGAGAAAGAGAAATGTTTTCCTGCAGGCTCCGCTCTCAGCCTCACTGGGAACGTGTTTCTCTCCAGCCCCGAGCTCCTCACTGGTGTCTGCCCTAGAGAGGGTGGACGGGTGGCGAGACAGGCAGGGACCGGCAGGGCTCCAGGCAGGAAGGTCCTCAGCGGAGTGGTCCAGGCCCGCAACTCTGTGTCCCAGACCACGACCCTTGAGACAACCCTGACTGGTCTAACAGTGACCCCCAGGCAGCATCCCAACGCCGTCTCCTCTGGTTCCAGATAAGATTGAGGATGAGCTGGAGATGACCATGGTCTGCCACCGGCCTGAGGGCCTGGAGCAGCTGGAGGCCCAGACCAACTTCACCAAGAGGGAGCTGCAAGTCCTGTATCGAGGCTTCAAAAACGTAAGACACCCCCCTTTCCCCACCCCCGGAGCCTCGCCAGGCTCCCCTGGGGCTGAGTGAGCTCTCCCAGATGCCCCGGGGCCTGTCCGGAGCTTTCCCGGGGGAGTGGCTACAAAGGGAGGAAGGTCGGTTCTATGAAGGGGACATGAGGCAAGGCCGCCTGGTTAGGAAGGAGGACTCCGGGCGGGGATGGGTTCCAGCCTGAGCATAACCCGTTCACTCTGTGTGGCTGGAGCCTCAGAAACACGGGGGTTAGGCCAGCTGCTAACCAAGCTGATGGACACTGATACGGAAGCCTGAAAGCCAGCGTGTTCGCTTACTTCTTACTTCGTTATTGAACCTCATGATAGTCTTGTTGGGAAGATCCTGTGGGACCCATTTCACAGCTAAGAACACTGAGGGTCAGAGGCCGACTCAAGGTCACCAAGCTTAGAAGGGGCTGAGCCAAGAACCAAGCCCCGGTCCTTCTCATCCGAGTCCACACTCTTCCTCCTCCCAGCCCCATTCTTCTCATCATTTTGCAGAGCGGCTTCGGTCCTGAGGTGGGGCTGCCCCCCCTCCCGGCCCCTCTCTGGCCCTTGTGATCTAGAGATCCTAAGGAACCCCAGACCCCAAGGCTGGCCCAGCCCACTGCTCTGGGGGCAGCCCTCAGTCACCCCGCTGACTGTGTCCTCCCGGCAGGAGTGCCCGAGCGGTGTGGTCAACGAGGAAACATTCAAGCAGATCTACGCACAGTTCTTCCCTCACGGAGGTGAGTCCGACCTTGGCAAAGAGCCTGCGTGGCTCCCTTTTCTCTTTTTTCTTTTCCTTTTTTTTTTTAAATATACTTTTATTGATTTCAGAGAGAGAGAGAGAGAGAAGCATCAATGATGAGAGAGAATATCATTGATCTGCTGCTTCCTGCATGCCCTCCACTGGGGATCAAGCCTGCAACTCGGGCAGGAATTGAACCGTGACCTCCTGGTTCATAGGTCGATGCTCCACCACTGAGCCATGCCAGCTGGGCCCAGCTCCCTTTCTGAGAAACAGCCTTCCTTTCTCCAAGTTCATGGCCCAGGTACCCGCCTCCTCAGCACCAGGGAGAACTCAGAGCAAGATGCTTTTCTTAGTACACGATGTGGAGCTCGAGAAGGCGTCAGCAGGAAAGAGCCCTGAAGGGGGCCCCTCTCCGGGAGGCGAGGGGGCGGCAGGGCCACCTCGAAGGCCCAGCACAGCCCTAGGCAGCAGGTGCTCCTCCCGATGTGGCCCAGGGAAGCTATGCCTCTCTCGGGACCACACAGCCGGGGAGCACCGCCCGCAGAAGTGCGTCTCCATCCAGTCACTGTCATTCGTCCACCAAGAACCGCACAGGCCCTAGCCGGTGTGGCTCGGTGCACGGAGTGTCAGCCTGTGGACTGTAGGGTCCCAAGTGTGATTCTGGCCAAGGGCACATGCCTCGATTGTGGGCTTGATCCCCAGTGGGGGGCGTGCAGGAGGCAGCCAATCAATGATTCTTTCTCATCATTGATGTTTCTATCTCTCTATCCCTCTCCCTTCCTCTTTGAAAGCAACAAAAATATATTTTTTTTAAAAAAAGAACCACACAACCAATCAGGGGGTCTTTTTCTGGGGTACAGGGGCAGGGGCCTGTCTCGGCTCTCACGAGACTTCCCACCTGCGCCCCAGGAGAGCCAGGCGGGTCCAGGTTCACACCCGGGGGTGTGCCACTCCACAGTGCCTCCTTTGTACCCCTCGGCGTCACCCTCCTCTCTTTCTCGCTGCCCTAAGTGCCCTCAGCCTGCTCTCGGCGCTGCTCCCTCACCTGCCTCTCCTTCTCCGCCTCGCAGATGCCACCACGTATGCCCATTACCTCTTCCACGCCTTTGACACCACCCAGACCGGCTCCGTGAAGTTCGAGGTGCGTGTTTCTCGGGGACTCCCCGGGTCCCCGGCTCCTCTGCCTCTACATCCACGGGGTGCTGGGGAAAGGGTTGGCTCACCAGATGCCCTCCGTGAAAACAAAACACCTTCATCCATTTAGCAAGCATTTCCTGGAGAGAGAGAGAGAGAGAGAGAGAAGCCACACCCGCCCTCCCTCCGGAGCTCGGGGCCTGGAGGGACCAATGGTGACAGCCTGGCAGCCCCCGTGCACACAGTGAGCACACGCAAGCTCTGTGCCACGTGCTTCACGTGTGTCAGTTCCCCGAACCCTCACGACAACCCTAGAGCAGGGAGCTATGGTGTATTGCCAGTTGCAGAAGAGGGAAGTAAGGCAAAGAGAGGTCGCGTGCCTTTCGCAAGGTCACACACAAAGGAGGGATTGGATCTCAAGTGGGATGTTGCCAGAGTCCACGCTCCCAGCCACTAGACCAGTGGTCGGCAAACTGTGGCTCGCGAGCCTCGGTTTGCTGAACTGTTGACTTATGAGTTTGCCGACCACTGCCCTAGACTATGCCACCACCCACATAATGACCGCAGCGGTGGGAGCAGACAGTACCAGGGAGGCTGTTACCTGTGTCTGGAGGTATCAGCACGCACAGAGCTCCATTCCTCCTCAGGGGGGCTCCTCCGTCAACAGTGGGACAGGGAGGGATATAAAGGGGGGTGGGGGGCCCGCTGCTCTTCACTGAGCGTGGCCATATCCTTCCTGGGACAGAGACCATGGGAGACACGATTGTGTTACATCAGTCACAGAGTCAGACCCACAGACAGAGCTTCACCCCAGCCGACGGCTTGGTGTTACTGTCACTCACGCCTCTTCCCCTTCTCAGGACTTTGTGACCGCTCTGTCGATCCTACTGAGAGGAACCGTCCATGAGAAGCTAAGGTGGACTTTTAACTTGTATGACATCAATAAGGATGGCTACATCAACAAAGAGGTGAGTGGGCTGAGGCAGGGGCATCAGGGGCCACAGGACGGCATCTCATGAGACAGGAAACAGCCCAGTCACGATGAGGAGGTTGTCCCCGTGAGGAGGGATCTGCTTTGGGCGAACAGAGCTGGTGTCCGGCAAAATGAAGGAGTTCACCTTTGCCCTCTCCATTGCCCTAGGCTGCTCCTTTCCCAGGTGCTAAGAAAGGGCCCAATAGATGCATTCATCCTCACTGGCTCACACACATTCAACGTGGACTTCTCAGTGAGTATGCGTGGTTTCAGAATAGAGTTCCTCTTCCCAGGGGAACTTGGAATTGAACAGGTTAACAGCCACAGTGAAAGCCAAGAGTTGGAATCGTTCTGCAGTTACCTCCTTGAAGAAAAAAGGGAGATTTGGGGCAAAGGGGAGACCACATCTGGATCCTATGGGCCACAACCTATTTTGCAGTAAGCCCGCAGGAGGGGGTGAGACTGGGTGCAGCCATTTCTAAAGAGATGGTCTGAACCTTCACTGTTGGACGTGTTGGAGCCTCGGAGTCCATTCTTTATCTAGTCAGTGAAATTCCCCACGTCCACCTCAAAACACTTGGGTACCTTCTGTGCCCAGCATCTTGGTTGAAGCTTGGATGTAGCCTCCATAACATCCACTTCCTGAGTGCCAATCCTCACCTCAGCCCTGCAGGGTTCTCCCCAGTGTTTTATTCCTCATTCATTTGGTCATGTCTTTGCCCGACACACATTTGAGGGCTTCTTAGGTGCTCCAGATGCTGAAGACAAATGGGTAAACAACCCCAGCAATGTGAAAACCCTAATATCCCCTATAGCAAATGTGTTACCTGAATTCCAGCCAGCACATACAATGGAAATCCAGGTGGCCAGCTAGCATCACCACGCAAGAGTGAGAAGATGGAAAGCATGTATGGTGCAGTGCATTGGAAGAGTCGCTTTATAAAGCAGCCTGTACAGAACTCTATCCTGAGTAGCTCGCTGCAGTCAGCTGTCCACCTTGGCTGCAGCCAGCTGTGGTCAGTGTCACTTGTGGCCACAGGGACAGGTCACCGGGTACCAATCCAGCCACCCAGGAATTAAAGAGTGGGGAGAGGGTCTTCCGGAAATGGAGTGTGGGCTGACCGGTACCAAAACAGGTCCACCCCAGCCCCAACATTAGCCCTCACGGAGGGGAACGCTCAAGAAAAGGTAACTACCCAAGAGCTTCTGGAGGCAAAGAGAATTTCCCACTGTCAAATAGATCCCCACTCCCAAAGACGGAGGAGGTGCCCTGCTAGTCTGCGTCCCAATGCCCTCTTGCCAGCTAAAGAAGGTCCTTGTCATCACTCTCATCCCTAAGGGGGGTAAGGAGCCTCACACCGTCACCTAAGAAGAGCTTGGCCTCACGGTTTCCGCACTGTGCCCCCATGTCCCTGTGCAGGAGATGATGGACATTGTCAAGGCCATCTACGACATGATGGGCAAATACACGTATCCCGTGCTCAAGGAGGACACCCCCAGGCAGCACGTGGACGTCTTCTTCCAGGTGAGTGTGCGCACCTGGGCGAGAGCTCCAGCTCACCTGAGGCCAGTCAGCCCGCCCCGTCGGAGCAGTGGCTGGTGTCCACCCGTGTCCCACACTCTGTAGGAGACAGAAAGGATGAAAAGGGGCGGCTCTCTGGGAATGAATGACCTCTGAAGCAGGCGAGTAGACACTACAGAAGAATAGGGGAAGTACACGTGGTATATATAGTGCACCCTCTAAGTTCCGTGAGATTTGGGGGACCCGAGTCCACAGGGAAGACGTCATTAAGCCCGTGGGTGCAGGTGGGAAGCCCTGGTGTCCAGGGAACTGCGGTGGGTGGATTGTGAGGTCTTGAGGCGGGAGACTTCATCCTTGTTAATCCGTGAGTAGAAGGGGGCCAGGTCCCAGAGGCATTTTAGTAAAAAATGCACCTGGCCGTAGAGTATCAGAGAACGCCAGAGCTCCCGCTAGCCCAGCGGTCGGCAAACTCATTAGTCAACAGAGCCAAATATCAATAGCACAACAATTGAAATTTCTTTTGGGGGCCGAAAACCGACTTCTGTGCCTGGGCCACAAAGTTTCCATCGCACTCTATGTGCGCGCCCACGCATGGTATTTTGTGGAAGAGCCACGCTCAAGGGGCCAAAGAGCCGCACCATGTGGCTCGCGAGCCACAGTTTGCCAACCTCTGCGCTAGTCGAATTCTCTCACTTTGCACATGGGAAATGCAGGCTCACAGAGGCTTAGGGACTCACTAAGGGCCGCAGAATGACAATGACAGTGACAGAGACAGAGGTAGCAGCTCTCATGTCCGGCTGGAAGCATCTCGGGAGACACAGTGGGTGTCAGCAGGCGGGTCCGCGGATGAAGTGATGAGAGTCCGGAGCTTGTCTTTTCATTTTGAGGATGCTCTTGGGGTCAAGTGCTCTCACCAGGCAGGGCCCGGGAGGGTTCTCTGGCCTGTGAAAAACCACCCTCCTCCTCGGGGCAACGTTGGTCCATAAAGGGCACCGTTTGGAATGCAGAATGCCAGGCTCTGTAAAGCGCTTCCTCTCGTGTCTTTCAGAAAATGGACAAAAATAAAGACGGGATCGTGACGTTAGATGAATTTCTCGAATCCTGTCAGGAGGTGAGGAGAGATCTCAGGCCACGTCCCTAAATCGGGGAAGGAAAGCCGGGGCTTGGCGACCTGCGGGAGGGAGAGGATGACAAACTGTGACCCCTCGAGTTAGAGCCACTGATACCAGCGGCAGCAGGTCAGATTCCAACCATCGCCACTCCCCGGAATGATCTACGGTTGGTCTCGGCCAAGCGGGCTGAGCCAGGTGGCCTGAGAAGGTCATCCACAAAAAACCTGTTCTGCAAACACCCATAAGCCAGTGCTGATATTGGGTAGGACGAAGATCACATGTGATTCCTAAGCCCGAGTTCAGGAATAACAGGCGTGGGGAAGAGGGCTGGGGCGGAACTCCACTAGGCAACAAGGTTGTTCATCTTTCCGTGATGTTGGGCAGTTCCTGAATGAAAATGGATCTCATTCCAAAATTGACTCCTAGGTCCTGAGGCTGTGCAACTCCCAGCCAGATTAGAATGTCCTTTCTTTCATCAGAACGAGGCCATCGTGGTTAATGTTTCTTATAACTATAGCTAGTCCCCGATACTCTATTTCTGTCTTAACACTTATCAGGGTCTTTTCACCCAGGAAACCCGTGCCAGAGGCTGGGTCCCCAGGTACGGAGCTCCTCAGGAATGCTAACCATTCTCTCCCCTCCCCCCTCCCCAGGATGACAACATCATGAGGTCCCTCCAGCTGTTCCAAAACGTCATGTAACCACAGACACAGCCATCCGGCTCTCAGAGACATTGTCCCAAATCACCACCCTAACACCTTGACCTGCCCTCCTGACATCACACTGACTCTGGGACAGAAACACCTGCTGAACTCTCTGCCGAAGACTTTCTATGGAGCCCAGCGCCCCGTGGCCTGGTCTCTGATGGCCGGCTCTTCCTCCTCCCTCCTCCTGAGAGAGACAAGATGAAATTGGAAGCATGCTCATCTCCTCACACCGCCGCCCCGGGGAAGGTCCCTCTGCCTGAGCTTAGACAGTAGTGCACACGTGTCTGCCTGCACACCCCAGCCCTCTGCTTACAGTGCAGCAGACCTCGGTGTGTCTGGAAGCAAGATGACCTGAGCCAAATGCCCTCCACCCTCTGATGGCCTCCCACACCAATGTGCCTGTTTCCCTTCCTTTGGTGGGAAGAGCGAGCGTTCTTCGGAACGATGTGAATCTACCATGACTAGCGTGGGAGAGCCAGCCCCTGGCCTGCGTCGGACAGGACTGAGTTGGTGAGCATGGCATTGTCTGACGACCCAAACTGCCCATCCCTTCTGTTCCTGGAGGCAAGGACCGGTAATTCTCTCTCACTGGCACCTGTGCTGGTAGGACCCATCCCTTAACAGCCCGGAAGGGAGCCGGCGCCCAGCGGTCCATGTCTCCACTCCATCTCCTGCTACAGCCCAGCACTGCATGTCCCTTCCAGAAAGCCTGCAAATTGCTGTAATTTTATACCATCTTCTAACCAATAAACAGAATTATTTCTTACACTCTTAATCGTCATGTCTTCCCTGAGTCCTTTGGGCAGGAGAGGTGAGTTGTGAAAAGCGGGAGGCCAGTCCACTCATTGGCGCCTCATTATTAGGACTTACTAGGTCCCAAGCAAACATCCAGTTCAGATGTAAATACTGGGGCCACATGCAAATGCATCATCGTGAAGAGGAAACTCTTCTCAGGGCCTCCCTTTCATCAAGCTCACCCCCACTCTCAAGACCTCTGCTGTGGAAGGTCTGGACCTGCATCAGGAAGGTCTAGGCCAGTGGTCGGCAAACCGTGGCTCTCGAGCCACAGGCGGCTCTTTGGCTCCTTGAGTGTGGCTCTTTCACAAAATACCACGGCCTGGGCGAGTCTATTTTGAAGAAGCGGTGTCAGAAGTTTAAGTTTAAAAAAATTTAACTCTCAAGAGAAATTTCAATCGCTGTACTGTTGATATTTGGCTCTGTTAACTCATGAGTTTGCTGACCACTGGGTGAGGCCGTTGGCTCTACGCCCTGGCTGCACATCACCATCACCTGGGGTGTGGAAAGTGCTAACACCTGCTGCCAACCCCCCTACCACCATCACCCCATCCAGGCAATTGACTTAGACTCTCTGAGGGTGGGGTTAGGCAGCAGGAAGCTTTCAGAGCTAAGAGCTGATTGAACGGTGCATCCAGAGGTAAGATGAGGAAGTGACCACACCCAATAGGAGCCCTTCCCCTGACCCCCCGCTGTTAAAAAATTGGGTCTGGATCCCAAGGCACAACACCTGTAGCCTTTCTGAGCTGCCTGCTGCTCTGGGGCCTACCCCACACCCGCCCCCTCCAGAAGCACCTCCATCAACAAGCCTCATCATCTAAACGCCCCAGGCCAGTTCATTCCCCCCCCCACCGCCCCCAAGTTTCTCCAGCTACATCACATCACTCTACCCCCACCAGGAAGTCTGCCACCTCCAGCCCCCCACTGCTCCTCCCACCCACCCTACCCCCCACCCTGCTTTGTCTCAAAGCCCACTCAAGGCTCCCTCATCCAGTCTACTGGGAGCTAGAAATAGAAACCCCCAGTCCTGCTCCACCTCTCCCTCCCCTGAACCACACTCATGGGAACAGCTGAAGCAGGACAAGGAATTTTGTGGCAGGGCGTCAGAAGTGAAGTCACCAATCCTCCCACCACTGCCTGCCCAGTCCAAGGGGTGAAAGCCCCTCGCTGACACAGGACAGGGGAATGCGTGGGGAGATGGGGAGAGAGACAGGCTATTGTGGCCACTGAGCGGGGACGAAGGGTTAAGACATGGGGCAGGTGTGCCTCTTAAGCATCCCCACTCCCACCAGGGCTGCACCAGCTGCTCTTGAGCGGCGGCTGCTGCTCGCCACTAAGCCGCTAGATGGCGCCGGCGCCCCGCTGAATAAGGCGTGGGCCCTGCCGCTGGGGCCTCCAGGCTGCGCCGGAGCCAGGGGGTGAGCTGCTGGGAGGGACTGGCCTCGCTGCTTCTAACCGTGGATTTGACTTCCGGCTACCTGTGCACGCCCAGGTCCCGCACTTCCCAAGGCCCGGCGCCTGGTGTCTGCTCTGGTACCACTGCCTTGGAATTCTTAATAACCTGTGAACCGGGAACCCACATTTTCCCTTTAAAGACTTGGCATGCCTTGACGCATTCACCCCAATGAGGTGAGGATATGGTCCCATTTTATAAACCAAGAAACTGAGGCTCTGGGAGGTGTTGGGACCCATCCAGGATCACACGCTGGCGGCTGATGGAGCCCGCTGCACATGGCATCCATGGCGCCAAGGGCAGGATCCCTTCCCATCCACACCAGAGGCTGTCCACGCCACCCCGGCCCTGCACAGGCCCAGATGCGGGCCTCTACACCACCACCACCACCACCACCACCACCACCACACACACACACACACACACACACACCCAGCAGGCAGCTCCTTCAGGCCTGGGGTGGGGCTGGGATAAAGGGCCCCAGGGCCAGGCTCCATTTCTTCTGGGGGGTGGAAAGTCCTATGGAGCCTGGAGGGAGAGGCGGCCAGCCCAGGCCCCGTTGTTAGTCCTGGCTTCTTCCTGGACAGACAGACAGCCGCGGACGTGGGTCACCGAACGAACGTGCAGGTCAGTAGGGTGTGTAGAAAGGGAGGGGGCAAAGGGTCTGGCTCCCCAGGGAGGGAGACAGCCCAGCGCTGGAATCCTGCCTCCGCCCAGTTCCCCACACCACCAAGCCCTTTCCAGCCACAAGTCCTAGCCCCACTTTCATCAGAGTGAAAGGGGGACATTCTCAGGGCGGCTGAAATACTTCAGGTGCCTGGCGAGTCACAGGTACGTGGCAAATAGGCCTTTGTTTACTTTTGGTTTTTGTCACAAAGACAGCTGGGTGATCCTCTCTGGTATCTGCCCCTAAGGGAATGGGGGTGGGAGGGAGGTCCCCAAGAGAGAGTTGGAGGGCAGAGAGCAGGAAACTGTGAGAAATGTGGTCCAACAGGCCGGACCAGCCACCCAGGGAGCCGGAGCCTATGGGTCTGGAGAGGGGCCTGCACAGCGTAGACTCTATGTCTCAGAGGCAGGCGGGAAAGCTGCGGGGAGGGGCTAGGCCAGGGCCATGGGGAAACAAGAGAATGATAATCCTCAGACTGCCCCCTTGTGGTCCTCCCACCCGCTGGGGCTGGTTCAGAGCCTTTTCTGGGCCTTCCCATTGCGTGACCCTCCTCCCAGCTCCCCTGAGAAGCCAACAGGGAACCAAGCCGTCATTCCAATGTTACATGAGTGACATGTCCAAGGTCAAGAGGGTGACACAAGGACTTGACCCAGTCTTCTGGTGTTTGATTCAGGGCTAACCCCAGTGCTGCAGAGTCAGGGCTCCCATGGGGAGAGGGGGGCGGGCAGAAAAGGCAGAGCCACCTTCCTTGTTTCTCCATCTGCCACTCCCACAGAACGAGGAGTGGGCCGTGGGGTTGGGGCCTGGGACATGGAAAACAAAGATGCCTCTGGTTCCAGGTCCTGTGCCCTCCTCCAAGTTCAGGCTGAGCCAGGAGGAACGGCTCAGGCCGCACCCCCCACTGCTGCCTCGCACCTGCTGTGTGACCTCAGGTAAGTGGCACCACCTCTCTGAGCCTGTGTCCTCATTGATAATACTGACAAGATTGGAATAGTGTGGGGGGAAGGAAGGGGGGTTTGCAGTTGGGTGGACTGGGTTCAGAGTCCAGCTCTTCACCTCCATAAGCCTCCGTGGGCTCTTAAGACTTCCTGCCTCAATTGTTGTACAGATTGAGATCATAACTGTAGTGTCAATAATGCTCATCTCCCCAGGAGAGGAGGCGGGATGGGGGGAGGGTGTCCCTGCATGTCACTCAGAGGCCACCCAGCACCCATCCTCACCCCGCCCTGCCCAGCCGCCTCCTGCCTGGACCCAGGCAAATCTGCTGCCCCAGGGAAGTGGCTCAGAGCATTCCTGCCGCATTCCTGCGGGGGCCGCCTCTCAGGGTAAGAGAGAGAGACATTCAGAGACGTTAACCAGGCAACATGGACAATGGAAAGGCTCTGAACTGTTCCCAATGGGGATCACAGAGGCAGACCCCTTCCATCTCAGGATCTCAGAACCTTTGAAACGCTCAGCCTGACACCAAGGCGCTGAGTGAAAACCAGCCTCAGAGGCAGGGACAGGAGGCATTGCTGAGATGAGCCGTCACTTTTCTTCTCAGTGAGAGACAGGTTCCCTGGGGCCTGGTCGGGGTGCATGCAGGAGTCAACCAACCCATGTGTCTCTCCCACATCGGTGTTTTTTCAAAGACCTGCTTCCTCCTGCTCCCATGTGCGTGACCCAAGCCTGGTGGCAGGCTGGCCAGGGCCATGTGCTCTGCCAGGCCGCGCCCAGCAGTGACTGGGCTGGAGGGCATATCAGTCCAGCCCATTCCTGCAGGGCACCTGCTCCTTTTAAGGAGAGCCCTTAGCTGGAGGCTCCGTCAGCGGGGCCCTGGATCCTCGGACCTGTCCTGCCTGCTGTCTGAGGCTCTTCCCACCCAGTCTGTCCTGCCTCTCTCCTTTTTCCAGCTGTCAGACCTACAGTGGCCCCCCTTCATCCTCCGCCCTGTAAATCTCTGCCATTCAAACACCTACAGACACCCCCAAGCTAACAAAGCACCCCGAGTCCCAGTGGCTTGGGTCAGTGGTTGGCAAACTCATTAGTCAACAGAGCCAAATATCAACAGGACGATTGATAAACTTCTTCTAACACCAC